GGGTTTAAAATGAGTTTCTTGTAGGCAACATATAGATGGGTTTTGTTTTTTAATCCATTCTGATACCCTGCGTCTTTTGATTGGGGCATTTAGCCCTTTAACATTAGGGTAACTATTGAGAGATATGAATTTAGTGCCATTGTATTGCCTGTAAGGTGACTGTTATTGTATATTGTTTCTGTTCCTTTCTGATCTACTACTTTTAGGCTCTCTCTTTGCTTAGAGGACCCTTTTCAATATTTCCTGTAGAGCTGGCTAGGTGTTTGCAAATTCTTTCAGTTTTTGTTTGTCCTGGAAGCTTTTAATCTCTCCTTCTATTTTCAATGATAGCCTAGCTGGATATAGTATTCTTGTCTGCATGTTTTTCTCGTTTAGTACTCTGAATATATCATGCCAGCTCTTTCTGGCCTGCCAGGTCTCTGTGGATAAGTCTGCTGCCAATCTAATATTTTTACCATTGTATGTTACAGACTTCTTTTCCCGGGCTGCTTTCAGGATTTTCTCTTTGTCACTAAGACTTGTAAATTTGACTATTAGGTGACGGTGTGTGGACCTATTCTTATTGATTTTGAGGGGGGTTCTCTGGATCTCCTGGATTTTGATGTTTGTTCCCTTTGCCATATTGGGGAAATTCTCTCCAATAATTCTCTCCAATATACCTTCTGCTCCGCTCTCTGTTTCTTCTTCTTCTGGAATCCCAATTATTCTAATGTTGTTTCGTCTTATGGTGTCACTTATCTCTCAAATTCTCCCCTCGTGGTCCAGTAGCTGTTTGTCCCTCTTTTGCTCAGCTTCTTTATTCTCTGTCATTTGGTCTTCTATATCGCTAATTCTCTCTTCTGCCTCATTTATCCTAGCAGTGAGAGCCTCTATTTTTTATTGCACCTCATTAATAGCTTTTTTGATTTCAACTTGATTAGATTTTAGTTCTTTTAGTTCTCCAGTAGGGCTTTTATATCTCCCGAGAGGCTTTCTCTAATATCTTCCATGCCTTTTTCGAGCCTGGCTAGAACCTTGAGAATCGTCATTCTGAACTCTAGATCTGACATATTACCAATGTCTGTATTGATTAGGTCCCTAGCCTTTGGTACTGCCTCTTGTTCTTTTTTTTGTGGTGAATTTTTCCGCCTTGTCATTTTGTCCAGATAAGAGTATATGAAGGAACAAGTAAAATACTAAATGGGTGGCAACAACCCCAGGAAAATATGCTTTAGCCAAATCAGAAGAGATCCCAAATCGAAAGGGGGGGAAGGAGATAAAAAGAGGTTCAGAAGGAAAAAAAAAAAAAAAGAAAAAAGAAACAAATAAAAAAAGAAAACCAATAATGAAAAAATATAAAAAGGAAATATATATATATATATTAGATAAACTAGTTAAAAAAACGTTAAAAAAGATAAGGGTAAAAGTTAAAAAAATTTAGCAGAAGAAGAGAAAAAAAAATTGAAAAGAAAAAAAAATTAACTGCAAGGCTAAAGACTCATGGGGAGAAAGCCATGTGCTCCGTGCTTTGCTTTCTCCTCCTCTGGAATTCCGCTGCTCTCCTTGGTATTGAAACCGCACTCCTTGGTAGGTGAACTTGGTCCTGGCTGGGTTTCTTGTTGATCTTCTGGGGGAGGGGCCTGTTGTAGTGATTCTCAAGTGACCCTGCGTCGGCTTCACCCCGGTTAAGCCTCTGAAGCGATGTCCCTCAGCGGAACAGACTTTTAAAAGTCCTGATTTTGTGCTCCGTTGCTCCGGTGCTTGCCAGGAGCCGGCCCCTCCCCCCGTGGTCTATCTTCCCGTCGCTTTGGATTCACTTCTCCGCCAGTCCTACCTTTCAGAAAGTGGTTGATTTTCTGTTTCTATAATTGCTGTTCTTCTTCTCTTCAATCTCCTGTTGGATTTGTAGGTGTTTGCAATCTTTAGATAAGCTATCTAGCCGATCTCCCGCAACCTGAAGTAGTCTCAGCCTGCTACTTCTCCGCCATCTTGACTCCTCCTGGACCATCTCTTTTTAACTGAAATTTTCATCACTGATTCTGCCAGCATTCTACATAGTTCTACAGACACTTTTAGTCATCTTATTAATTAGAATAATAATGCCTCTGGAAACACCAAAATCACTCATTTGATACAATATAGTTGTGATTTTTGTCAAGAAAAGATAGTAACCTGTGTAACATGAGCCACAGAGCCAGAGATTAGGAAAGGGGGTCCTTTTTTGTTTTTATTCTTAATAGTCTGATGTGCACTATTATGATTTTCAATCCATATTCTGAACCTAATTTCTGATGGCCCTTTTAAAACAGCTGTGGATTTGAGCAATTTATACATATTACTTTTATAGCATTATTAATATCCAAAGTTCTATTTGGGTAATAACATTTACGGTAAAAAAATAAATAAATAAATAAGTTACCATTACATAATAGGATTTTGACTTGAAAACTGACAGTTTATAAAGAGAATTTCCAAAAACATTCTTTGCATTTGAAGCCTCATTTGCAATAAATCACAGACTCTCAGTGTGATTGCTCTAAATAACATCCATTTGAATAGATAGTTCTACAAATGATATGAAAATTAGTTAAGTTACGATATCACTTTGTAAAATGGCTGCCTATCTGCCAATAGCCTTGTCCTCCCCAGCTTTTTTGCTGGTATGCAGACAAATGCTGAGATACCTAATTCTTTCAAACTATTTATCTGAATTTTCTTGGGTTCCTCTTCACCATGACCATCGAAGCTTTCTTCATCCTCTTTCTCAGATATAGGCTCAATTACTTCTATTTCTTAAATGCCTGAAGCACTCATTTTGGTCTGTCATTAGGACAGATGCCTAATGTTACATATTAGGATGTGGTATGATGGTATCACGTAGTAGCTAGTAGCATGTGCTCTGCCATTTACTAGCCATGAGATCTTGTGCTTCATTTTCTTATTCTATAAAATGGGAAGAGCAATTTCCATGTCAGAAAACTATTGTAAAGCTTAAATGAGTTAATCTATATACGTTCTCAACAGTACCGGGCATATAGTAAGGTCTTCAAGTATCAGTTATTATTATTATCATTATTATTATTTTCTTCATCATAATAAACTTGTTTATAATCTTCTCTTTATTTCCAACTAGTTTATTTATAACTGTTTTAAGCATTATAATAGCTTCGTATTTAATACGCTTATCCTTATTCTCAACTAAACATTATGTTAAAAGACAAACTGAAGCATGTTAAAATTTTAAGAGTTTACTTGCACAAAAATTGAGTCAAATGGGGCAGCATCCAATCTAATACATAGATTGGAGCTCCAAGGAGCTGTGCAAAATGACTTTTATAGCCTGAAAGGAGCAGGGACAAGGAAGATACACTAGACAAAAAAGGCAGATTGGTTATTGCAATCATTTGGGGCTGGCAGGGGTCTATCAGGCAGACTACCTAACTGGTGCTGATCAGGTGATTCTTGACTGACTGGTTTAAGACTCCATTTCTGGGAGAGCTGAAACTGTAATTCAGTCTTGGTTTGGTGACGTGGGGCTTGCATAAGATACTATTTTGGGTCTGTTTTCTTGTTTTTAACAGTATCTATTGTATTACTCAGCATAGTAATTTATGCACATATCATAGCAGCTGCGGAATAGTCCACATGATTCAAATCCCAATCTGCTTTTATGGCCTGTGTGATTTGAAAACATTATTTAAACTCTCCAAACCTTTGCTTATTTACCAGTGAGTTAGACTTAGTATTACCTACCTCCAGGATAGATGACCATTAACTAAGATAATATATGTAAAGTCTCCAGCACAAGGCGTGGTGTGCCAGTAAGTGCTCAGTTGATGGTAGCTAGATGCTCAGTACAGATGGACGCAATAACAGAGGGATTATTCCAACCATTTTTACCATGTCTCTCAACTTCTTCCTAATACTTCTCACATGTAAAACCTGAAATACAATCTAGCTTCTGATTAAGCTTTGTTTATGTGGTTCTCCAGATGTTTTCTATCTATAAATATTACCTCTGACATCACATTTCTGGATTAACAGGTTCACTGTCTTTTCTTGCTTTGTTTTGTTTTTCCCTTTACTGTTTGGTACCCCTAGTTGAGCACAGAGGTAGTACATGGTCGGTGCTTAATAAGTATTTAAAACTTAGCCTTTGAAGACACCAGGTATTTTGCCAAAATTAGGTTTCATTTAGAAATGTCAGTCAGCACATTAATAGACTCACCAAGACCAAAGTTAGAAAAATTCAAACTCTTTCTTAACCCCTATAAGTGAGAAATATTTGACTGTCAAGAATCATTATTTAAAAAAAAAAAAAAACTGAAAAAAATCTTGAATTAGTGTTTACAGTGCCAAATTGATATAATTGATTACTTCACTAACATTCTCAATTAGCAATTGCTTGCACTAAAGACAAATTTCTAAAGCAGATTAAGCTTGTGCTTTGTTTTTCTCATTTACATTAAATTAGTAGTATGAGAGTTTATAGACCTCTAAACATGTTTAACCTTGAAAAAATGTTTTCTTTTGCTACAATATGTCAAGTTACCTTTACAGGGAAGGATCCTTGATTTTTTGGTGTTTACCATAATGAATAAACTTTGGAGTTTTACATTTAAATGGTCTCATGTTTTGTCTTGTCTCTTCTATTATAGGCATTGATTGTGAAGTAAATATAGATGAATGTCTATCAGATCCCTGTCTCCATGATGGAACTTGTATTGGTGGCATCAATCATGCTTGTGACTGCAAGAGTGGATTTTTTGGAACATGCTGTGAAAAAAATGCAAATGATTGCCTCTCAAATCCTTGTCTATATGGAAGGTAACTATTTTTGTTTTTCTATTATTAAATCAGAAAGTAAATTTAACTCACAATATTTAAGAATTAATGTCAAGGGAAAGTTGATAACGATTATTTTAATTATGCTCTTTCATAAAACGAGACCTAAGTACAGTTAAGATGACAGATGCTGCCTGTTCCACTTAATGCCATGTACCGATACATTATCTCTGCCCTTCTTTTATTTCTGCTCATTAGCATAAAGTAATTTTCAATAACTGTGGATTAATTGGACTTTAATATACTTAAAGGTAACTGCTCACAGTAATAGAAGTAGCTGGTAAGATGATGAGACATTCTATTATTTGCTCTGTGAAGGGATAATACCACACACTTAGAATTTAAAATGTCCCTAAGTAGACTGGCTCTCTCATCCCCATGTACATGTAAGGTATTTTTTTACTCTATTTATGGAATTATATAATAACTCTCCTGCTCATGGATAGAATATTAGTTCATGCAAATTTAGACCCTAGATATTTCTAGGAGATGCAGGTGGCAAAGAAGAATGCACGAGCCTTTCCCTGCAGCATTATTTTTCTTCTCTAGCCCTGCCACTGACTTTGTAAGCAGGGAGAGAGGATGAGGATGGTAGCTCATTGCAGTGCAATTTGGCCATAGCTGACTTCAGTTCCCAACATAAACTCTAGATGTACTTTTTATCTTTAGAACTTTTCTTTCTTTACATTGCCATGGGGAAGATGGCAAAAATTAAAATTGATCTGTTCTTTCAGTCCAGTCACCTTGAAGGATAAGAAGCAGGAACAGACTCTGCCTTCTATTGCTCATGGGAATGTATGTTTTTTCCCTTAACTGGAAAAGAAAAACTTTAAATAGTGAAACTCCTTTGAAATTATGCTTTACTGTCTTACTTATTTAAAAATGTAATTCTGTGTTCCAGATGTATAGATCTCGTTAGCGAGTATCAATGTTCATTTGTTGCAGAATGGACTAGCTCAAGATGTGAGATCAAGATTAATGTAAGTTTCATAATTTTTATTAAATTTGAAGTAATTCAGAAGAAAAACCAAAGTACTCGTTATAGGTTTCAGAGTCATTTCTTCAGCAGTTATTGATGATTTAACTGTTCTCTCACCTTTCTTCTTTGGAGTTTCTCAGCTACTCCAAACAGAACTAAGATCTTAGCTTCTTTTCATTTTTCCTCCTCTGTGTCTTGTTATCAACAATTTCTGCAATCTGGGTCCCTCATTAATTAAGTCCTAGAAGTGATTATTGTCAAAAGAAGGCTCAAAAGGATTATTCTTTGCCGTCTGCCTCCCCCTTTCTGGTCTTAGGACATACAGATGTCTGTGGATGTTTAGGGATGAGAGGACATTAAATTGATTCAGATATCACAAGAACATAAATACTGGCTATACGTGCCAAGAGGTGGATACATGTAAAGAACACCAACACCTATAATACTTTCATGATCTTTTTTGAGTCTTCAGGAGTCTGCAGTGTGATTGACACATGGCATTTTATGTGGGATGCCTAATTAGTTGAGAAATGTCAGTTACTTGAAGTTTGAGACCATATTTTGGAGATGAGAATCTTGTGAGCCTTCCTGAATAATAGGACATTCTTCCAAATCATTCCTCTCACATGGTATAAGAAGAAAATATTGTGACTAAAAAGAGCTTCTAATATTGTGATACTATGGATATTTTATTTAAATCCTTTGCCTCTCCCTTGGCCATAAAATAAAGCTACAATAATTTCTACATCACACAGTCATTGGTGTGATAATGCACATATGACATGGTGGGTATTCAGTAAATGGTCCTTTCAGAGGGAGTGTTGGGATGGTTAAATGCATTAAGGAGAAACAGGATTGAACCACTGTCTTGCTATTTAGTTTCTATGTGTTCTTAGATAAATTACTTATATTCTGAAATCATATTTTAGCTATTCAATGAGGGCAGTCATCATAACACCCCACTCTTGGGTTGTTGGTTGTTGTGAGGATTAAATTAGATAACGCATGTAAAACAATTAACACATTTTCTGACACATTATTTTTTAAACTTAATTATTTATTGCTGTTACATTGATTTGGTTCTAGATAGTGAGGCCATACTTGATGTGGAAAAGGAGTGTCATAATTAATAAATTCCCTGGTAAGAATGGACAAGGCATCTATCTTGTTTGCACTGTTATACATATTGCCTGTGGCAATCTCTAAAACCCTATCTCTTGGTAGTATAAATATAGCATTCTTCAGAATTAAACATATAGGTAAATAAATATTTTCTTTTATATAGAGAGTTGTATATATTCATACACACATACATGCAATATTGTGAGAACAATTATTAAAATTCTACCTATGTACTTCTAGATTTCTTCCTTATATCTTTTATTTTTTTATCTTTTTTACACCCATGCAATACATGCTCCATGCAATACAGTGCCCTCCTTAATACTCACCATTAGGCTCACCCAAGCCCCTACCTTCCTCACCTCCAAAACCCTCAGTTTGTTTCTCAAAGTCCACAGTCTATCCTGGTTCGTCTCCCCCTCCAATTTCCCCCAACTCACTTCTCCTCTCCTTCTCTCAATGTCCTCCATGTTATTCCTTACGCTCCACAAGTAAGTGAAAGCATATGATAATTGACTCTCTCTGCTTGATGTATTTCACTCAGCATAATATCCTCCAGTCCCATCCATGTTGTTGCAAAAGTTGGGTATTCATCCTTTTTGATGGAGGCATAATATCCCATTGTATATATGGACCATATCTTCTTTATCCACTCATCTGTTGAAGGGCATTTTGGCTCTTTCTACAGTTTGGCAACTGTGGCCATTGCTGCTATGAACATTGGGGTACAGATGGTCCTTCTTTTCGCTACATCTGTATCTTTTATCTGTATCTGTATTTGTACATCTGTATCTTTGGGGTAATTACCCAGTAGTGCAATTGCATAGGGTCATAGAGTAGCTCTATTTTTAATTTCTTAAGGAATCTCCACACTGTTTTCCAAAGTGGCTGCAACAACTTGCATTCCCACCAACAGTGTAAGAGGGTTCCCCTTTCTCCACATCCTCTCCAACACTTGTTGTTTACTGTCTTGTTGATTTTGACCATTCTAACTGGTGGAAGGTGGTATCTCAAAGTGATTTTAATTTCCCTGATGGCTAATGATGATGAACATTTTTTCATGTGTCTGTTAGACACTTGTAGGTCTTCTTTGGAGAAGAAGTCTGTTCATGTCTTCTGCCCATTTTTTGGCATGATTATCTGTTTTGTGTGTGTTGAGTTTGAGGAGCTCTTTATAGATCTTGGATATAATATATATATATATCTTCTCCCACTCCATGGGCTGCCTCTTTGTTTTGTTGACTGTTTCCTTTGTTGTGCAGAAGCTTTTGATCTTGATGAAGTCCCAAAAGGTCATTTTTGCTTTTATTTCCCTTGCCTTTGGAGCTGTGTCTTGAAGGAAGTTGCTGTGGCCAATGTCGAAGAGGTTACTGCCTATGTTCTTCTCTAGGATTTTGATAGATTCCTGCCTCATGATGAGGTCTTCTATCCATTTCGAGTTTATCTTTGTGTATGGTGTAAGGGAATAGTCAAGTTTCATTTTTCTATACATAGATGTCCAATTTTCCCAGCACCATTTATTGAAGAGACTAACGTCACTGTACATTTTTTCCTGCTTTGTCAAAGATTATTTGACCATAGAGTTGAGGGTTCATATCTGGGCTCTCTACTCTGTTCCACTGGTCTATGTGTCTGTTTTTGTACTAGTACCATGCTGTCTTGGTAATCACAGCTTTGTAATAAAGTTTGAAATCAGGCAACGTGTTGCTCCCAGTTTTGTTTTTCTTTTTCAACATTTCCTTAGCAATTTGGGGTCTCTTCTGGTTTCATACAAGTTTAGGATTGTTTATTCCAGCACTTTGAAAAATGCCAGTGGAATTTTGATTGGTATGGCATTGAAAGTATAGATGGCTCTAGGCAGTATAGACATTTTAACAATGTTTATTCTTCCAATCCATGAGCATGGAATGTTTTTCCATCTTTTTATGTCTTCTCCAATTTCTTTCTTGAGTGTTCTGTAGTTCCTCGAGTACAGATCCTTTACCTATTTGGTTAGGTTTATTCCCAGGTATCTTATGGTTCTTAGTGCTATAATTACTAGAATCAATTCTTTAATTTCCCTTTCTATATTTTCATTGTTAGTGTATAAGAAAACAACTGATTTCTGTACATTGATTTTTGTATCCTGCCACATTACTATTTTTATTTTACTTTATTTTATTTTATTAATTAATTTATTTATTTTTATTTTATTTTAACATAAAACTGTACTCATTACCCTCCTTATTAAATGGCTTTTTGTTTCACTTAGTGTATCTTAGGAACCATTGCATTGTAATACAAAGAGTCTTGACTCATTCCTTTTACTTATTTATGTCCATTAGGGCATTTTATTTTCATGTATGTATTACATACCTAGAAAAAGAATTGGATTTTCCCTCCTGTATTTTCATTTTGCTTCTTCATGGTCTTTGATACCAGCTGTTGTTGAGTACAGTGAAACCAAACTGATGGGACAGAAGCAGATTATTTTTCCATGTTTTTAGATCTTTGAGTTGTACCTTAAATCTGAGGTGGTCATTCCACACTTGTTTAACCTTTCCATGAGGTTAACAACAATTTCCAAGCTCTTTGATTATCAGTGATTTCAAATTCACCAAAGTAACCATGCTTCATCATTATAGTTAGAAACCAGACGATGACTTTGGAGTATGGCCTATTAAGAACCTAGAGTTTGTCTCTCTTTTCAGATCATTAATGCTCTTGAGAGCATCTGCCAGGACATTCATGTGCACCATTACGATGGCACAAAAAGACTGTAGAAAGAACCTAATGCATTCCTTTTAATAGCTACATTTTCCAGATAAGTGTTGAAGAACCTCACTTAGGGGCACCTTAGTGGCTCAATCAGTTAAGCATCTGACTCTTTATTTTAGCTCAGGTCTTTATAAGACTTGTAAAATGTGATATTTTTGTATTTTTTGTATTTTTTTATTAACTTCAATTAGGCAACATAGAATACATCATTAGTTTTTGATGTAGCGTTCAATGATTCATTAGTTGTGTATAACACCCAATGCTGATTGGATCACATGCTCTCCTTAATGCCCATCACTAGGGGAAGGTTAAAAAGAAAACCAAACCTGTGCCATCACAGTGCCTGACTTCAAGCTATATTATAAAGATGTGATCACCAAGACAGCATGGTACTGGCATAAAAACAGACACATAGACCAATGGAACAGAATGAAGAGCCCAGAAATGGATGCTCAACTCTATGGTCAACTAATCTTCAACAAAGCAGGAAAGACTATCCAATGGAAAAATAAAACAGTTTCTTAAATGAATAGTTCTGGGACAATTGGACAGCCACATGCAGAAGAATGAAACTGGACTGTTCTCTTACACCATATTTTTTGTATTTTTCTTTACTTTTTTCTTTCTGACACTGGGCTTTCCATCTCTCCTTAGAAAGTCTTTTCATGCAGCAATATTTAAATTATTTTTTATATTCTGATCTATAATTTTAGGATTGATAACACTTAGAACTTTAATCCACAGTGAATATATTATTATGATTGATATAAAGTAGGGGAAATGAATTTTCTAAGAATTTTTGTCAAAGGGTCTGTCATTTATTGATTCCGGGTGCCTAATTTTTCATGCACTAAGTTCCTATATGTGGGTCAGTTTAGGATTATCTGTTCTGTTCTTCTGCTTTTTAAAATTTCATGCTGTCATCTATATTAATTACAGTTCAACAGAGGTTTTTTTAAGTGTTCTTTTTACTAGTACATTAAGTACACTCTAAATGTAATTTTGGTCATTCATTTTGCAAATACTGAATATTTTTTATCTATGCGAAACAGAAATAAAATAGTTTTCAGAAATACCTCCTGCTTACCAGTTCTAATGGAGATATCAATATAGATGTAAATG